AAGGTCTGAGCGGTTACTGAAGGTTTTCCTGCACTCACTGCATTCATGCGGTCGCTCTCCCGTATGCATTCTCTGATGTCTTATAAGGTGTGAGCTCCGAGTGAAGCTTTTCCTGCACTCATCGCATTCATAAAGTCTCTCCCCTGTGTGAATTCTCTCATGGTTAATAAGGCCTGAGCGGTTACTGAAGTTTTTCCCACACTCAGTACATGTGTTTTTTCTCTCTCCCATGAGGTTTCTCGGCTGGGCTGGGCTTTCATTGAGGTCTTTTTGAGTTTCCCAACAACTGATGGATTTCCCCCCTCTCTCGCCTGGTTGGTTTTCCTGCTGCATCTTTGGCTTGTGCGGACGCTCACTGGCGTGTTCCTACTCATGACTCATGGACACATTCCCTTGGGATCCTTGCAATAATGTTACACGGTTCCACTTGCTCAGCAGCCTTCTGATGAGGATTCTGTTTCTCATTCTTAATCACCATCCCAACATCGGCTGGGATAGAAAGGGAAACCTCAGAAACAGGAATGGAAAAGAGAGCTCCCAAGGTCTTTGTAGGGAATCCCAGTTGTTTCCTTCAGGCACTGACAGTTTTTGACTTGGATTAATGACTCCTTACCTATGCAGGCAAATTTCAGGAACGGTTTTTCTTCTGGGTCTCTGACCCACAGCTCCTCCCCTCATTGTAGCTGGGAGATCACATCAGGTTTGGAAACCCTGCTCTGGGGAAAGAGCACACGGGATATTGGGTGAATTCATGAGATATTTGTCACACAGAAGTTCAATTATTTTAACCCCATTATTTTAAAGCTCCCAGGGTGCTCAAATGTGCCACACACTGTGCTTATGAGGGATGTAACTATCCACATTTCTGCTGAACACACACAAAGCCAGGCATTCTTCATCAAAGGGGCTCCGAAAAATAGAGTAGGTAACTGACAGAATATACAACTGTATTCGTACCCTACATCCTAATAATCTTTGTACAAAGCGTGCCTGGTAAGGCATCATTTAAAAACTCAATTCGTAATATCCTGGCAAAAGGCACATAGCAGCATTGTATGTGAAGTTATAAACACAAGCGGAGATCATGACTAAAAGTCTGTTTTGGGAGTGGGCAAACCAGTTTCTCAGAGACAAAGGGTAAGAGGCTGTCTCGGACAGGTGAAAGCAAAGCTGATGGACCATTACCTGCTAAGCAGCCAATCTTTGGCAGAAAAGGGGACGGGGGGGGGGGGGGAAACTACATCTTAGCAAAGAAGCAACATGGAGTTCCCTTCCACACAGACTGCCTGTCGCCTTGCTCCCTGCTGGAAAGGCTTCTCAAAGGGGGAACGGGACTATAAAAAGAAGGGGCAGACACCCCCCAAACACCCCTCTTTCTCTCGCTTCCCATCGCATTCACTGCACGTGAAGAGACAAAGGAAGTCTCTGAGAGAAGGGGTTCTGACCCAAGAAGTTTGGTCAGGCATGTTGAAAGCAAACAGTGACAAAATTTTGCTTTGAATTTAACAGAGTTTGTGAGGTAAGTCACCACCGGGTGTATCTTTCTATGTCTTGTAACCATTTCTGGCTTTTATACCTCATGACTTGTATTCACTTACAATCTAGCTCTTTGTAGTTAATAAACTTTTTTTTTATTGTTTTACTTAATCCAGTGTGTTTAAACTGAAGTGTCTGGGAAACTCCATTGAGGTTGACAAGTTGTGTGCACATTATTCTTTTAAAGCAATAATGGACCTAATATAACTTGTATTGTCCAGGAGAGGGCGTACATTTCTGGAGGGAAATCCCAGACTGGGGGTGTGTTGGAGTCACCCTGCAGTAGACTGGTGACAGTCACAGTGTAACCCAAAGGTGGCTGGCTGGCTGCAATTACACACACTCAGGGTGTGGTTTGCATGCTGGGAGGCTGTTTGTGAGCAGCCCAGAGGGAGATACTTCTGCCGGACATTGCAAGGCACCCATGGATACATGGCAGGGACGACAGCTGTTTATTAGCCTAGATTGTACCCTGGTAGGTCACGGGAACTCCACATCCCAGAAAATGAAGTCTCCAGCCCAAAGGAAAATCCCTCTGGAACTGCTTCTTACAGACAGAGAGAGGCCCAAAGCCAACGAGAGACTCCGAGGGATGCTGGGACTGGTAAGCATGAGCTGGTAGAGCGCAGCATTGCAAGGAATAAGACGGGGCAGGCATATCACTCAATGCAGTGTGCCAGAGTTGTCAGATGTCAGGAAAGCACGTTGTGAGGACTTAAGTTATCTAGCAAGTCTGATGTAGCTGGAGGGAGTATGAAAATCCCCCAGTATGTGGAGACTGATGGGGAATTAGATGCTATAATTCAGGATCAAAAGACTAATTCCTCTGCAAAAGGAGAATGTGAAAAATATGACTGGTGAGCTTGGTAGGGGCTGACTCAAAAAATCCGAGGGCCCTGCAGTATAGGTTTGGGATTTAATAAAATGTAAAAAACTTAAGCAAAAAATAATAATAATAATAATTAAAAAAAACAACCCCCCCCCACACACAAATACCAGTGCGTAATTAACATTTTTGTGATTTAAAAATATTAAATAATATAATTTAATCATTTTTTAAAGCTAGTTTCACCTCCATAATATAAATAAAAAACCATGCTCTTTAAAAACCATTTCCGAACTGCAGTTCAACATCCCGCCGCTGAAACTAACCCCTCTGCATGACCGTGATGTGCAGAGGCATCGTCAAAACCCCCCAAATAAATAAATCCTAACTAGCCATCAAGCAAAATGTGTCTGTATATTAAAAATAGTAAGCATAAAAAATTTGCTTTATATAGATTCTGTATATATTACTAATAAATAAATATTTAAAACAGCGGGGTAAAACTTTCACTAAAAAAAGGTTCCGCAAACCCGTAAACCCCCCCGCTCCCGAAAGCAAATACTTAAATTAACCAAGTTTCTTCCTAAGCCCCATGGGTAAAAATAGGTGCTTACACCCTAAGCCCTTAAAAAAAAAAAATGCCTAAATGAACTGGGTCACGCCTTAAGCCCTCAATAGGATGTAAGCGGGGTGTCCTAAATTAACCAGGTCGTGCCTTAGGCCTTCGGTAAAATATAGGCAGGGTGCCCTAAATTAAGTGGGTAACAGCAGGAAAGAGAGATTGTGGCTGCTGCATAAGGGGAAGGGGAAGGAAGAGCCTACAAATCTGCAGAAGTTTCACTACCGACCTAGGACATCTCCAAGATAGTCCACATTTGTCCCAGGAAAGGGGTTGTCTTGTGACTGGGAAGAATGGAAGGACTCGGGAATAGTGGCTAGGGTCCACATGGATAGGGAAGAGGTGTGTGTGTGGTGGGCCATAAGGTAGGCACTGTGCAGTGGCAAGAAGGGAAGAGTACGAATAATAATATTTGAGAAAAGTAAGGAAAATAAAATGAAACTGGGCTAGAAGAAGAATGGAGAGCAGGCTCTAACTCGGTGGGGTCTGGGCAGGAATTGTGTGTGAATGGGCTGGGATCCCCCACAGCTCCACATCCCCCAAAGCTCCCAGCCCCTTCCTCCCACCCTCTCCACTCCCCAGGTATTCCTTAGTCATATTTCTCCAAACCCCTGTGACGGAGCTGGAGCTGCTCTGGAATACTGATGAATACTGTATGTTGTTCTGGTTCCTGGAATATTTACTGTCTGAATCATTTGGATTCATTTCATAGGAGATCTGTGAGGAAAACAAGCAGGAACGGAAGAAGAATGGCTCAAGATGATCCACCCTTGGCAAAAATAATGAATGGTTCTTAAGAGAAAATGCCTGAACTTTGGATATTCTACCGCCTGGCTGGAGCCAGCTTGCAGAACTGGGTTAGATGAGCAGGGCTGGAGCAGTTTACAAAGGGACTCCCTACTCCAGAGGGAGATAGCGGTTCACACAGGATATTGTCGACCAAGGTCTAGGAATGGGAGAATTGCATAATTTAACTCCAGGAGAGGCAAAAGCACAAGGTCTGACAGCTGAGGGGGTCACTCAGACATAAAGGAAAGGGAAAGAGTTGCAGTGAGCCCCGTCTCTCATTAGGACACATGCGCCTCTCCCTCACCACCTCCTGGGACCTGATGAGCACCTGCTGGAACTCACTGCAAGGGCTACCCAGAGCTCTGAGCCACTGTTACCTCTCTATCTCTGCACGAGTGACTAGACCGTGCCAGCTTCCTGCTACACAAGCCTGTCTTCCTCACCAGCAAACTAGCAAGTAACAACCAGTGAACTCAGAGAGATGTGTCTCTGCAGCGCACAGCTCCTACCATGGCTCATTCTCAGACTGCTCTGTGAAAGAGTCAGTACATCACTGCTGGTCAATATAACTGGGGTAAATACACCCATCCCTTCAAGCACAGCACTGAATTGGTTTATGATCAACAGAAGTTGGTCCAATGAAAGACATTACTTCACCCATCTAGTCTCTCTAAAAACAAATTTATTAACAGAAGAGCATTAATTAAGTGATCCCATGTAAAAGAGAGAGGTAGACACATACAAAATGGGAAATGACTGCCTAGGAAGGAGTACTGCGGAAAGGGACCTGGGGGTCATAGTGGATCACAAGCTAAATCTGAGTCAACAGTGTAACGCTGTTGCAAAAAAAGCAAACATCATTTGGGATGTATTAGCAGTTCTGTAAGCAAGACATGAGAAGTAATTCTTCCACTCTACTCCGCGCTGATTAGGCCTCAACTGGAGTATTGTGTCCAGTTCTGGGCGCCACATTTCAGGAAAGATGTGGACAAATTGGAGAAAGTCCAGAGAAGAGCAACAAAAATGATTAAAGGTTTAGAAAACATGACCTATGAGAGAAGATTTAAAAAAGCTGGGTTTGTTTAGTCTGGAAAAGAGAAGACTGAGAGGGGACATAATCACAGTTCTCAAGTATATAAAAGGCTGTTACAAGGAAGAAGGAGAAAAATTGTTCTTCTTAACCTCTGAGAATAGGACAAGAAGCAATGGGCT